TTCTCTCTTCCTCTCTCTCCCTCTCTCTCTGACTCTCCCCTGCTCACGCTGTCTCTCTCTCTCTCTCTCCTAGAAATAAAAAAAAAAAAAAAATTAAAAAAAAATTGTTTTAAACCTTCTGTCTTTTCATTTGTCCCTAAAATAATATAGAGAGCACAGGCTCTACCTTTGATCGCCTTTCTGTCCAGTGGGAGCCTGGCAGAGCTCCCAGAGAAGGCTGGGCCGTGACAGGGCGTGGGGCCGCGGCTCAGCCCCCCGCTGCGCACAGGGAAGTCACAGGCAGGGCTCCCTGGGTAGCAAGGATGTGAGAAGGGGGGAGGCGGCTGGGGTGGGGGAGGCAGCGGGTAATCGAGGGCCTTTGAGAGACGCGGGGCATCAGGAAGGACATCGCGGTCACCAGGAGACACGGAAGTGTCACCGGCAGAAAGGGAGTGGGCGGTGTCCCGCTTCCGGTGGGATTCGGGGGACCGACAGGGAGCGCTCACCCTTGAGAAGATTCATACAGGGACAGCGCTGGCCCCCAGGAAATGCGCTCTAAACTCAAAATGCTTATTTTTATGCTGTGTGTATAATCTAAATTCAGGCAATAGTTGCTTTGTATTTGGAAAAAAAATTTTAAGACCCGTAGGAACAAAGACAAAACATGGGAAATCCATTATTATTGGATAATTTTAAAAGCTTTGTGCCTCACACATGAAAGGGATCCGTGTCCTGAGTCCTATAAAACCTTCCCATCGAGCTCCCGCGCTTCGGACTGAACCATGGCAGTCCGCGTGTCCGCTTCTTCCCCCGAGAACAGTCACATCCGTGAACTGGGCACACGTCAACAAGGGCCCTTTCCTGCAATCTCCCCCCCCCGCCTCCCCTCTGCTCTCTTCCTCCCCCCCCACCCAAGGGCGAGTCCTTGGCCACAGTCCCTCGTCAAGTGCCCCGCCTGGCCGGCAATCTCAACGCGTGCCTAGTGTCCCCACTTGGGGACGGGGTGCAGGGCTCTGCCGCACCCAACTGGGCCCGACAGAGCTGCCTGGGTCCTTTAAACTTAGAGCTTCAAAAACTCAGCTCATGCTGATTTCCCTAAAACCCGAGCGTCGCCCCCATGCGCCCCTGTGATAAAGGCAGAGCCCCAAGGGTCTTCAGAGCTCGCACTCGGCCCCTGCCCCTCACTCCCATCTGCAAACCCACATTTTAGGGCCACCGGCCTCAGAAAAGTCTCTAAAAGCAACCCCACTCCCACCCTATCTGCACGTTTGCAAACAAGCGCCCACCCCACGTGTGGCCCGGAGCAGGTACCACTTCTCCAACAAATCCTGCAACGACACGGCCTCCTCCCGAGGGCCCAGGCACCCCCCCCCGCACCTCTGTCCATGCTCACAAAGGGGGCACCCCCTTTCAAAGGGGCACAGATGACACCTTCCCCAATGGGCAGTGGCCCTGCCACCCGATGCCCACTTTTTACCCCTGCGGACTCTTCGAAGGGCCCAATCCAGCGCCACAGGCCATCTCCACCCTCTGATGCTGTAATTACCGCCATTACCACGTACGTATTCCCTGGTGTGTCACCCGTGTGCAGGGGTGACACGGCAGGATGACCACTGGGCTGGCTGTGCCCCTGAGCAGCTGGCCAGCCTGCTTCCAAAGCCAGGGTGCCCCAAACCTGAGCACGACTCAACCTCTCGTTCTGCAGACGTGGCGGCCACATCCCAGTGCTGTGCCCCACTCTCCCCGCCCCCCTCCTGCTCTCCATGCTGCCTGAGCCTCTTCCAGGCCATCTCCCCCCCGGCCCCTCCCCTCCTAGGACCTCTCCCTCCACCTCCTCCGGCCTGGCCCAGCACCGCAAGAGCGCGGTGCGAGGGGTGCACAGTGGTGCTCTACCACCTGCCGGGCTGTTGGGGGGGGAGGGGGCTGTATGGCTCCCCTCTGCGTCCTCACATTCAGCACAGGGGATGGCTCTCAGTGCACGCTGCTCACCCACTCAGGCTCTGGCTCAGAGATCTCTTAGAGTACACCCTGTACCAGATATGATCATGACACTAACACCAACAAACTGCCTCTTGCTTCCTCTATTTATCTGTAGTCACTTAAAGTGAAATGGCCAAAAGTCAGCCAATGTGACACTCAGCGGTTCATTACACATCTGTTTCTCCTAGAGCCGTATTTCCTTGCTGCCTTCTCTGATTGGATAAGCAATACAGTCTCGTGGGTTTTTTTTAACCTAAGCTTTTTATTTTATTTTTTTATGTTATATTTATTTCTGAGAGAGAGAGAGAGAGAGAGAGAGAGAGACAGTGAGCAGAGGAGGGTCAGAGAGAGAGGGAAACACGGAATCTGAAACAGGCTCCAGGCTCTGAGCTGTCAGCACAGAGCCCGATGTGGGGCTTGAACCCACGAAAAGTGAGATCATGACCTGAGCCGAAGGCGGATGCTCACCCGGCTGAGCCACCCAGGCGCCTCTACAGTTTCATTTTTAAAAACTGACAGCAATATAGGAAAAATAAAAGAATGAGAATAGAAGGGACAGGCCTTCACCCTGATTCTGTGAAAGGGTGATTAATATCCTTTGCACAGCGTAGAATACATTCTTCCCACTTTTTACGTGTATTATGACTTTTTTCCCTAGATACAATCATCCTCTTTAAATGGTTCCATTAGCTGTCTCTCCTCAGCACACCGCGTGGCTGACTCCCCTGTCACAGCTGTAGAGTGCCACACGGGATGACTCAGTGACGTACGTGCCCATCCCCAGCGAGGGGCAGCTGGCTCGCTCGCAGTTCATCTCGCTGAGCAAAGGCAGCAGTGAATATTACCTCCCATACATATTTACACACGTCCGACTGTGTAAGCAGAAGGAATTCCTGAAGGCACCGTCCTGGATCCCAAAGTGTTGTGACAGCCCCTCCCCTACAGGGAAGACAGGGTCGATTCCCCAGCTTGTGACAGCCAGCTCTTGCCCTTCTCTCGCAGACACCGATTTCCTCACCCCTACCCGGTAACAACCATTTCAGTCCAAACAAGCAGAGCTCATTAAAAAGTAAAACACACAACACCCTAAGTCATCCTGTCACAGGTTTCTTTCTGTGAAATTATAGAGCAGCACTGATCTTCATACAGGACTGGCCATCGTTTGGGAAATAACAGAGAAGACAACAGGTTTTTTTTTAGTGCTCTAGAACTGTGCTGTGCAACCGCTGCCAAGAGCCACGTGGCTATTTAAATTGAAATTAATTAAAATTAAACGAAACTTAAAATCCAGTGCCTCAGGGGCACGAGCCACTCTTCAAGCACCCGGTAGCCAAGCCTGGCTAGTAGCTGCCAGGCTGGATGGCACAGATGAAGCACACTGGTGTCATCACTCAGCAAGATGCGGTGGACAGCAGGGCTCTAGAGATTAAAAGCCATGATGCTCTGCACTGAAAACTGTTACAATGTCCCCCCCCCCCCCCCGAATTAGGTAAGTGACCTACTCATTGGAAAGCGCTGCGCAGACCTGACGGGTGGCTGGTGGACCCTCTCACACCCGATGCCCAGTCTCCCCAGCAACCACGGAGTGAAGGGAAACGTAACTAAGCACAGACACTCACGCGGGACTGAGCCGGGTTCCGAAGTCCTCCTCACATCTTCACAAAACAAACACCACCCCAAGCAAGAAAGGAAATGAAAAGCTAGGACACCTTGCTACCCTGTCAGTAAGTCAGATGTTTCTCATACCTCGGGGCTCCTGTTTGCACCGGTCACCAAGCCGGAATGTCTGAACTACAAAGACATGCTGATTTTAATGGGGGTTTTTTTGTTGTTTCTTTTTTTTTTTTTTAATTTCTGAGAGAGAGACAGACAGACAGACAGCGTGAGCAGGGGAGGGGCAGAGACAGATGGAGACACAGAATCTGAAACAGGCTCCAGGCTCTGAGCTGGGTGTCAGCACAGAGCCCAATGCGGGGCTCGAACCCACGAACCGTGAGATCGTGACCTGAGCCGAAGTCGGACACTCAACCGACTGAGCCCCCCAGGAGCCCTAACGTGGTGGTTTTAAAAGTCATTTTTTAAAAGCCTAGGATGTTCGAAATAGAACTACTATATAGTAAAAGTAGCCAAGTAGAGTCCTGTGTTTGGTTAACTGTAACATCAGTGGAAGCCTTAAAGGAGGCTCACTCTAGGAAGCCGGATCCATCCGGTGATGCTGCCTTCTCCCCCCCCCCCCAATCTGTGCTCCCCACCCTTTGCTGAACCACTAACAGAAACAGGGTGGAGGATAAAAAGGACAACGGTTAAAATGCAGACTCGAACTGGGGCACCCGGCGGGCTCAGTAGGCAGAGGCACGCAACTCTTGATCTCAGGGTTGTGAGTTCAAGCCTCATGTTTGGCATAAAAATATTTGTAAAAATATGCATATGCAAACCGCCCCCTTGTCTGGGAAGCGCGGCAGCCTGTGTGGGTCAGGAAAGCACCACCAAACCCTCGCTGATTCACCCTGCTCTCAGGGCACGTCCCACACCACGGCAACTAGCAGATGTGTTGTAATCACCCAAGAAGCAACTGAAACCTGGTCATTTCCTACGAGAAGAAAAAGGAGGAAATGCCATTTAGCAAATTAGAGGTGGGGAGACACTCAATCATGAGGGTCTGCCATCAGAAGGGAATGCAGACCTCACGGGGGTCTGCGGAGCAGGAAAGGAGGAGCAGAGCAGACACCACTGAAGCCGGCTCGGTGTTAAAGTCACGGAAACTACCAAGACTTTCACAGGGTTCGTCCGGTTAATTTTAGCAACATCTAGCCTCGCCATTCAGCCCTTCGCTCTGCAGCCCTAAGTCCTCGGTGTCTTCCTGCCTCTCACTGCTGGGGGGTGGGGGTGGGGGTGGGGTTGTCCGGGTGTCTGGGCGGTATCGCCACTAGCCCGAGAAAACCGCCGAAAAGAGAGTCATACGGACATCCTGGGCCAAGAGAAAAAGGGCCACAGGGCGATGCAGAAGCCTCCAGGCTGCAGAGTAAGATGAGTGTCCGAAACCGCTGCGTTCCCGGAAAGGGGGCGGGGGTCGGCCTTCTCTGCAAGTGAGAACAGCCAGATGTCATCGCAAAACGACTAAGCGCACAGCACTTTGTTCAAAGGGGCCCTCGGGGCGCCTGGGTGGCTTAGTCGGTTAAGCGTCCGACTTTCGCTTAGGTCATGATCTCGCGGTTCGTGGGTTCGAGCCCCGCATCGGGCTCTGTGCTGACTGCCAGCTCAGAGCCTGGAGCCTGTTTCGGTCTGTGACTCCCTCTCTCTCTGACCCTCCCCTGCTCACGCTGTCTCTCTCTCCTAGAAATAAATAAAAATAAAAAATAAAAACAAAAACAAAGGGGCCCTTCCGTCTGCAGCTGGAACCTCACAAGGAGGTGCGCCAAGCGGCACCCCAGGGCACCCCAGGCCGGGGAGAGGCTAAGTCCCGCAAGAATGAATGAAGTGCCTCCCGGGGCCGGGAAACCCGGGCCCGCGGCCGCCCCGCCCCCCACCTCCCCCAGCCCGCTGCCCCCGGCCCAGCCGTGCGCCCTCGGGGCCCGCGCCGCCAGCCCGCGGCCCCGGGCGACCCCTCCACGGCCCCCGCCCGGCCGCGCCCCGCCTCAGTTTCCCCGCCAGCCCTTACCAGCTCGGGGCCGCGGAGGCTGTCCCGGGAGGGTCCCAGCAGCGCGCACAGCTCCAGGAGCCCCGAGGGCAGCGCCAGGGGCTGCGGCGCGGCCTCGGCCATGACTGCTCGCCGGCCGCCGCCCTCCGGGCGCACCCCGCTAGGGCGCCTCCGGCCGCCGGCCCCGCAACCGCGCGTCCTGCAGCCCGCCGCCGGGTCCGCGCGGAGAGCCGTCCGCGGGGCGGGGCCTCGTGGGGGCGGGGCCTCCTGCGCCGGAGCGGGGCCTCCGGGGGCGGGGCCTCGCTTAGGGCGGGACCGGCCAACTGGAACTGGCCTCCCGGGGGCGGGGCCTCCGTTGGGGGCGGAGCCCGACGGGGCGGGGCCTCACGGACTGGGGACGGGGCCTCCGTGGGGGAGGGGCCGACTGCTCTTGGGCTCGGTCTCCCGGGGGCGGTGCTTCCAGGGGGCGGGGCCCCGGGGGCGGGGCATCCCGGGTGGGGCGGGGGCGACCGCGGGGGCCAGAGCGAGGTCGTCATTTCCGAACCTGCCCGCAGGTCCCGGCGCGTGCGCAGTGTCTGTGCGCGCAGCCCCCTCCGCTGGTGCCGCCCCGCCGGTCCCGGCCGGCAGCCCCCTCCCCAGGGAACCGACGCTGCGGTGGGCGGGGTCCTCAGGTGGCAGGCGAGGGCGCCCAGCCTCTGGGGCCGAGGGCGTGGAAGTCACCAGCTGCGGCGAGTCCCGGGTCCGCCCTCCCGGGCTTGGAGAGACTAAGGCCAGACGCGACCCCAGCCACCACCGCCTCTTGGAAGCCCTCCTGTGGGCCAGGGCTGAGGAGTTGACCGGGCGTGGACAGCAGAAAAGGCCGGCGGGGAAGGGGTGGAAAGATCCATTCCTGGTTAATAATTCCGCCGGGTTAACCTTACTGGCCCTGCTCAGTAAGAGGTTGGGCAATATTCAGCAGGAAACCCGGCGACGTGAGCCTGGAATGCATGGAGCCCTGGACTGCAGAGCTGAGGAGGGTCTGAGACCTGACAGGGCCCTTACCTGCCGGCTCCAGACCCGGCCAGACCCTGGACCAGGGACCTCCCCCATCCAGGAGGCCGGCTTTGGTGCCGGGTGGTTGGACACAGAAGCTGGAGGGGACCTGGGCCCCAGTCCCAGCTCTCCCTGCCAGATCACCTTGGGCACACCCTTCCCCTCTCTGGACCCCAGCATATGCATCAATAAAACCAGGTGGGAAATGATTCCAAAGGAACTTCTCTAGTTCTAATAATCTATGATTCATTTTTTTTAAACCTCAGATTCTTAATAGTAATGTCAAACATCCGTCATCAGCCTAAGAAGAAAAGCAGCAAAGCAATGTCAAAACCAAAAGGGGCATGGGCCTGGATCTAGAGACCAAAGGCACTCCTCCATCCTTTGCAGCCTGCTGAGGCCCCCACTGCCCGCAGCCTGCCTCAGGTGATCTGTTTCACTTATAAGTCACTTATTGACAGTGAGTCACAGCTGGTTCTCACTTAGGTCTGGAGGCTGCCCGGCATCCCTGAATCTCACTGCTGAGCCATGACAAGTACTTACAGTCACTGCCTTCAAAAAAAAAAAGGACAGGTTTTGCTCATACTTGTCTGGTCTTCGTGGTGTTTTCATTATTGTGGCCTCGGCACAGGGCAGAGTGGAATTATCTGTGAATCCCCAGTGCCCAGGAGAGAGGCTCGCAGATACCGTTGGAAGCACGAGTGAGCCAGTCCAGGAAGGCAGCAAAGCCCGGGGCTTTCAAGGACCTGGGCTGGAGCTGGCTCCTGCGTGAGCTGTGGGACAGCCTCGCCTTCCTGACTTCCTGTTTGTTCAAACACTGCTGGGCGTGGTCAGGATTCAGGGAGGTAAACACTTGGCAGCTGCGGGGAAGACCCAGGCCCAGCGAGGCTCTCGCGGGAGCAGTGTCGCTTTTCCCGCCAGAGGTGAAGGACGGGTTTGAGGAAGAGAACTCCAGGCAGAAAGGAAATGGGTCCAGGCCATCTGGGCCACGCATGGGGCCATGCAGATCTGCCCCTCTCGTCACCACCCCAGGAGGGCCAGATTGTCCTCCACGGGGCTCCTAGCTCCTTCCTCACTCTGTGCTTTTCCGGGAGTCCCCAGGCTCCTGCTGCGGAGACTTGCACGCTGCCTTCGGGAGCCCCAGCCGGATCACTCTAGAAAGCGCTGACGGGATTGGAGACAGAAGTGCAGATAACTAGCAATCAAAGTCATAGGCAGAAAAGCCACATAAGGGTCACGTAGAGGCAGACGGTGGAGGTAGGGGGACACAGGCGAGAAGGCATGTGGAGCGAAAAAGACCATGAGCACAGAACGTGGCACTGCCCACCCTGGAGTCAGGGAAGGGGCAGCTCCCTGCACAGGGGCCTCGCTGCGGGAGCCCCCCTTCCTGAGCAACAGCCGTGCCGCTCCGGCTCACTCTCAGGATTACTGTGCAGAGCCAGAGAGAAAATAGATATGAAAATCGCGTGTGAGCTGTGAGGGGCTGAGGCAGAACCAGGGGGTGAGCACCCCGCTCTGACTGTGCTAGGGCTCGATTGTTCACTTCGAAAAGGTTAATTTCATCCCGTGGGATTTCACCTCAATTGATTTTCTTTTGATGGGGTTTATGAGGACTACGGTCTCCAACTGCAGTACAGGAATATTCCCCACCCATCTCAGCAGTGGTTTAGGTGTTAAAATTCTTTTAAAGATAGGGAATGGGGGGGAGGCCCCATGCCATTGGATTTGCCGAGGATTCCTTGTGTGTGACACAGAAAACAAGGCAATGAAAGAGAAAAATAGATAAACTGACTCCATCAAAATTAAAACCTTTTTGTGCATCAAAGGACCCGATCAAGAGCTTGAAAAGGCAACCCACAGAATGGAGAGATATTTGCCTGTTTCCTTATCTGTAAAATGGGTGTGGTGCCCTCCTCACAGGCAGTTGGGAAAATTGAATATGCAACTGGCCCTGGAAAAACCTCATTTGGAGAGCAGGGACATTCCAGTCTTTACAAGTCAGACCTCTGGGGCATATGGGCCCTTGGAAACCCGGCCCCAATGGCTCCAGCCCCACCCCCACCCCCAGTGCCTCTCCAGCACCACCCAGACTTGCTCAGGGTCCCCCCCCAATGAGTGGTGCATTCCCACCTCCCTGCAGGCTCCCCGGGACACACTCCCCCTGCTCTGGCTGCACTGCATTTTCCCACCTCCTCCCCCAGTGGGAAGGGGTACCTCCCTCTGAACGCTACCGCCCTCACCCCTGGGCCATCGCCTCTCCATTCTCAGTTGCCTGCTGCAAATCCCGATTCTAATATTTGCTAAGTATTTGACCTTATTTCACCTCTCTGGGCCTCAGTTTCTCACGGGGTTGTTCTGAGGGTCCAGCATCACACAGGCCATGGTGGATGGACAGGCTCCATCAGGGTTACCTTTGCTTTCATGGCTTATAGGGATTGTCTACGGGGTCTGTCCCCCGACATAATGGTAAGTAAAGGCGAGGTCATTTTCACACGCATTACCCTGGAGTACACAGCTTGAGGATGGGCTCGTAATAATTGCCAGTTTTATTCCTCTGGCTAAGAGATCCAGAGGTAATTTGAGGTTTACATTTTTTAAAATGTTTATTTACTTTCAGAGAGGCAGCATGAGCAGGGGAGGGGCAGAGAGAGAGAGGGTGAGAGAGAATCCCCAGTAGATTCCTCGCTGTCAGCACAGAGCCTGACCTGGGGCTCGAACTCATGAACCACAAGATCACGACCTGAACCAAAGTCAAGAGCCTGACGCCTAACTGACTGAGCCACCCAGGTGCCCGTACGTTGTTTTTTATAATTCTTCCATCAAGAGTTTAGGTGCCTCCACTGCCCTTGTAAGCTGCTTGCAAATTGTTTGACTTTTACTTACAAATCTTGTGTGTGTGTGACATGTGTTCATGAAAAACTATGAGATAAGCAAAAAGAAAGAAATGCACACTGCACAGAGATGAGCAGTGAGTTTTAGATCTATGTGTGTATGTCTACACATACACACGTGCACACACACACGGCATGTGATTTAAACCTATGTATGTGAGCACATACTAAATATACTGCTTTGTAACTTGTTATGTTTTACTTTACAACATAGAATGAATCTATTTTCATTCATATGTGTGAAGCCATCCAACTGAGAAACACTCAAAACTGGGTCAAAATACAAAATCCAGCAAGACTGGAAACAAGAAAACCACCTAGAACAAAATTGTACCAGATGATTAAAAATAGTAAAACGAAGATTGGGGCACCTGGGTGCCTCAGTCAGTTGAATGTCCGACTTTGGCTCAGGTCGTGATCTCACGGCCCGTGATTTCAAGCCCCATGTAGGGCTCTATGCTGACAGCTCAGAGCCTGGAGCCTGGTTGGGATTCCGTGTCTCCTTCTCTTTCTGCCCCTCCCCCGCTTGTGTTCTGTCTCTCTCTCTCTCAAAGATAAAACATTTAAAAAAATTTTAAATTTGGGGCGCCTGGGTGGCTTAGTCGGTTAAGCGTCCGACTTTCGCTTGGGTCATGATCTCGTGGTTCGTGGGTTCGAGCCCCGCGTCGGGCTCTGTGCTGACTGCCAGCTCAGAGCCTGAAGCCTGTTTCAGAGTCTGTGATTCCCTCTCTCTCTGACCCTCCCCTGCTCTCGCTGTCTCTCTCCCTCTCCTAAGAAATAAATAAAACGTTAAAAAAAATTAAAAAAAATTTTTTTTAAATTTATTTTTGAGAAAGAGACAGAGAATGAGAATTCGAAGACAGGGACACAGAATCCAAAGCAGCTCCAGGCTCCTCGCCATCAGCACAGAACCTGACGTGGGGCTCGAACTCAAGAACTGCAAGATCATGACCTGAGCTGAAGCCAGATGCTTTACTAACTGAGCCACCCAGGTGCCCCAAGTATTTTTCTGTTATTTCCTTTAAATAAATTAATCCTGCAGGGATTCAGGGGATTGTCCTCCCCCCTCCTTCAGGGTGTGTCATACCCGGAAGACCAGGAGCTCTGAAAGGGTGTGGGGCACTTTCCTTCTTCCCCGGCAGCACGGAGCTGCGCTACAGCCACTTTTCAAACAGTTACATGATTGATACTTCACAGAAATTGTGACGTAGGGGCTAGCTGGTCTCCCGTGTGAAGATATAAGCCAAGCTTTGACTTTTCTTGGTAAAGTTTACA